AACGAATTGAAAAATTAAATAAAACAAAATGTAAACTTGAAAAATATTAAAAAAGGGGCACAACAAACTTTTTTGGTTTGTAGGGGCTTGTTCTGGCGTGCGAAGGTTTTTTTTTTTAGGTGTTGACGAATAACACTGATAACGGGTGTACATATATTTTCATTTTTTAGAATTTTTTTTACTGTTACATTTTTTTTATGGTTCAAAAATAATAGCTCTAGGAACTTCAAACAAAATAAAAAACTTATGCTTCGATGTTTTGAATATATATTCTCTTTTATCTGAAGTATAACATTTTTTAAATTTTAAATAAATTTAAATATTTACAAAAAATTAATTAATTTGTAATTTTAAACAAATCTGCCGCAGATATACGTTTTGAAATGTGATTTTAATTGCATTTGCCGATGGTATATAAACTTCGGCTTGCCGACACAACGCGGTGAAAAAGTCCGAAAAAAGCCTTTTTTATGTACGAGTGTGTGCGCCCATTTTAGGCCATGCTACTGTCTTTTGTGGCTTTAATTAACGGTCAACGGAAACATATGCGCTTTCGTCTACGTCTTGGGTATTTTGCTGATTTTTTCTTCTTTCTCTTCAAGTTGTCTTAGGTTACCGTCCAACCAAGTTCCGCTTTCGTGAGTGGAAAAGGCTGAAACCCCTCTCTTAATTTGTGGTTTTTGCATATCGATATGCCTTTTCTTTCTGGCCCCTCCTCCATTTCCCAACCCATTTTTCCCTGTGGCATGCTGCGATCTCACCCGATATGTCAATGTTCTATATGCCTGACTGATTTGACTGAGCTAAAAAAAAGGGAATAGCTGCTGTTGTTTATGGCATGGCTGTACGAACGATCAACTGTCAACTTTTGTAAACTTCCGGTTCTGTATTTTCCTCGTCTCGTTGGTTTTGGCCACTATTTTTTATTCGTTCCCTTCTCTCTCCCTCTAAAAAAAGCAGGAAAACCTTTTGTGTTTTTGTTTTGGTTGGGTTCAGCTTAATACACGCGCGCTTGAATTTGTCAAACATTAACTTTTTTTGGGCATGTAGTGCTTAGCTTATTTCTTATTCCAATCTCAAAATTGGAGAAGACACGATTGCACTCGAATGTGCAGGAATCCCTAGAATCTGTAAGCTTAATTTCAATTTCCAAGATAGATGTCGAGATCTCAGGCAGGCAAAGGTTACTCCATGTTTATACTTGGAATAAAAAACAAATGTTTCTAGCTAGTTTTTAAAAAAAGTCGGGAACATTTAAAAAAACTATTGGCCTTTAAAAAGGTTATTTCGATTAGGTCAATTATCCCAAGTATTTAGTTTATTAGCGGGAATCTTTCTGTTTTCTTAAAGTAAAATGTCGTTTTACAAATTGGATTAAAAATGCGCAGTCTTGAAACGGAAAACAAGATGCGACCACGATGGGCACAAGTTGACAATGGAAACCATTAAGCTCCGGCTTCGTCTTACATTTCCCATCTGCTCCTCGTCTTCTCATCTCCCAAAGCCTCTCTCTTCACGGCGATCATCTCCGCTTTAAGCAATCACTTTCGGAAAGGGTTCAATGCACCCGTCGCACAACACACCGAGTATCTCTGCGAGGTTCGTGCAGCCCCCAAACTGATGGTGATGGTGATGATGATGATGATGATGGTCGTAGCATAACAGTCAAAACAACCGAAAACCCAATGATGGAAGAAAATAAACAACCAACCGTAATGACTTCGGCTACAGAAAAGACAGTAACAATAACATCAGCAACCGCATCTGCCAATAATAGCAACAGTGTTGCACTATTCGACTGATCGCGACTGATGCAAAGTCATCGGAGAGCGGAGGGCCATAAACACGGCTTATTATGGTGACACTGGCTATATCTGTCTCTTGGCCGATAGGGCCGCACTCGTGTCTACCAAAACAGAACTATCTGGCCTGAGTTAGCTTTATAAACATATGCGTTTTTACCTAGGGTAGAGAAATGTCACTTTGAACCAAACTATCATAGCTTTTTGGTTAGTAACGAAATAAAACTAACTACACTTAAGTTTGTATCCAACCGTAGCAGGTTTAATTACTCAATTCCAGGGATTCCAGGGACATCCCCAACACAAAATCGAACTTCTCCGAAAACCGAGATTGCGAATTCCGACGAACCGCTGGCGTATTGAATGCAGAAATTAGCGAGGGGCGAAAAGTGTAATTAAGAGGAAATTAGCAGCAAACAAAGCCAAAAATGCGCATAACCTGTGCGTGCGATTCGAGTGTTGCAATTGCAACTAACAATAGTTGCTTGCCTCCAATTATCATTTCTGCTCGTGTGTGCGGCGGATTTCACGGTACTCTATTGTTTTGCATTTTGCAATATAATGCAGAAAATACATCAATAACGAAACATGCAAACTTTTGTCTTCTTCTATTAGTGCCAGGGACACAGCAACCAACTAACGAGGCATCGCCGAGTCAGAGAACTAGAAAAATAAAATAAAATAAATAAAAAACGAGAAATAACGTGCCACATCTTGATTTCTTTTTAATCGAAAATCGCCATTTAAATAGTTCGCTTATGTCATCGCTGGGTTATTGTTCCTGACTGCAAACGGTGCCTTGTAGCTAAAATTAAAAACACCATTCAAATGCTTAGAAGATGACAAAATACCGCAAATACTTTTGTTCATAATACAGTGCAGCTGTTTACTGCCAACCAAAACAATACGCGTTCATTGATTGTTTAGCTGAACAAATGAAGCCAACAATCTGATTCATCCCCAACCAGAAGCTTCTGAACATTGCCAAACTGTTAATGCCATTTGGCGTAACGTTTACATAGGCTTTTGGACATTTTGAGTAGCAAATTGTTGACAAAACTTGGTGTTTTATTATGCAATAACATTAAAGAATGGGTGTCTTAGCATAACTCGTTCTTTCCAGGCCAACTTATCCGAACTGCCCGGCGAATTAAATAAAAATGCTAATTGTGCTGAGTATTCGGGTTGGCTATAGATCAGGCCTTCAGAATCTCCATCCTTGCTAGACCTTGCCCTGATTCATTATGCATGCACATAAATTATAGAAAACACCTAAATTATATGGCAAGTGGTTAGCTTTTGAATTCGGAAAAAAGCAGGAACATTAAATGAAATTAGACCATAAATCGGAAAGGTGGAATTGAGCTGAGCATACCCTAATAAAGGTTATAATTACCCTAAGTAAATTATTCCTATAAAAACCTTATTCTCCATTGAAAGGCTCAACTATTTATTAGCACCTGAAAGACAAAAATAAATAAAATTGTAAGTAAATGTAAATTTGTTTAATCTTAAGATTTGAAGCAAGTAGTTCCCCTGAATCTTCGATGGGATTATGCGTGAAATGTGCCTATCCGTGGAATGTATATATCGACGTACTAAGAACTGCGCCTCGCATTTTTAAATTGTAAACAATCCATCGGGAGGGGCAAACATAAATAAAATTTCTTAATTAAACTCTAAAAGGAAACCGAAAAGTGCGAAATTGTTTACTCAGAAACGAATTCAGACCAGAAAACGAAGACGAAAAATGCTATGGCGAGGCCAGCTGCAAAAATACGTGCAAACTTATATTTACATTTTGGCCAATGAATGAAATAAATTTTTCCTTGTCCGCTTTTCTCTTATTTTGCGCAGCTTTCAGTTCACGGCCAAGGGGCGTATGATTAATATATATAAATGTGAACCGATAATGTGACACACAAATACCCAAAATATACCTCCTTCTGTATATATATCTGTTATACTAAATGGACAAATGAAATTAAAAGTAAAATGTCGCCTATATTTTCCAAAGCAATATTTTTCATCTCAAGGCCAAAATGCCGCATCGTCATCTTTTAAAAATAATTATACATCTCAAAAATACGACCTCAAGGAAGCGTATAAAATGAAAAAGAATTGATCTAGAGCTGTTACCAAAACAAACTGCATTGATAAAACATTTAAAGAAAAATCATTTGATAAATTCAAAGCAACTCAGGCCCATTAACATAATTTTTATTTACACAATATTAAAAATTGAAGCATAAATGGGCGAATGTGTTTGACTATTATAATGCTATATTCGCGCTTACAACTGATTCAGTCAATTATATGCTTAGACATAATCAGTTGGACGGGTTTCTCTTTTAATATATTTTTCGTCTTAATTTTGTAGTTTTATAATAAATATGTTCGTTGATATAGCTCTCATGGGAAATACATTTTAAAGATCGGTGTTGGTATTTTCGTTATATGATCCAAATTGATGAACGTCTTTTAATTTTGTTAGTGATTATTTGTGAAGACATAAAATGGAGCAAACATACAAGATCGAAGCGTTTGGAAACTTTGTCAATGTATTTAAGTTCATAAAGTAAAATTAAAAGTTAATTGTGAAAACACAGACTTAATGATGTTATTGAGTTTATTGTTAAGAAATTAAACTAAGGGATTTATGTGTAAAAGTATCACAACTATAATGAATTGGCTTGTCGTCAGAGCCATGATCATTATCTATGCGCTGACTTACTTTCATATTTACCAACTAGAGAGTATTTAGAACTTTCAAATTCACAGCTAAGTGTGAAGAGTTGGAACAACCATTTACTAGCAAAGAAACAGAACATTTTCTTATAGATTTATTTTTAGCTGAGCAATGACAAATTCTTATGAAAATGTCTTTTGGCCCGTTGTAAACGGAACCGTTGAGTTAGTCCGGTTGGGAACCACTTTAAAAAAGAGAAACAAATAAACAAGTTGAAGTCCCTCTCAACTGTACAGTTTTTGTCGTCAATTTTAATGTTTAGTTGCCAAAAAACTTGGTTTTTGTTTGTTTTATGGTAAAAAAGATATGCCCTAGTCCTCAGCGTTTTATGGGTCCTTAATAACACTATTGGAGGTTTAAGGCTAATTGGACCGTTAAACTACAATTTACCTCTATACTTATATTTTGAATGTTACAATATTTTATAACTTAAATATTTCTACTTACAGATCCCAACGAGAAACACTTCGACCAATATCGCACTCAATCAAGGAATTTAAAAAGGTGAGCTGGCCGCATATATGCAGACATAATATTAACAAAGTCCCCGACATCCACTCAATCGCGCAAAAATGTTAGCCAAGGGTCGTTAATCAAAAGGCATCAAAATAAAACGCTCAGTTTGCCGTCTCACACGGCGCGTTGCATCATTAACGTTGAATCAGCAGCTATGAGATACTCTGTGTACTATACAGGCGCTGGCATACCTGCCAGATACAGATACTTATAGATCTGAGAGTCAGCTCAGTGAGTGCGCCGAGTGAAACAGCGTCAAATTGCATTTAAATTGAATGAAATTAATTTGACATGCAAGCTGTTTTGAGTCGCCGCCTGAACTCAACTCGAGACTTGTCTGCTTACAACAAAGCGTTAAAGTTACATGTGTACAGATACGCACACTCAAAAGGCAGCGAAAGATACCAGCTACAAGATACAAGATACGCAAACTGCATCCAGATAAAAGGCACTGCACATGTCGGGCGAAATCAAAATGACATCCAACCCATGCAGAAAGATACCTATAAAGGGGCGAAAAAATAAAGAGAGCTGGCACATATAGGAGTGCAGAGATTCTAAACACATCCCCCAGATACAATAGCCTTGGGCATGGCTATAGCTCACCGCCTGCTTTGTGCTTTCTTTTAAAAATAACTTGGAAGGTGATCTATGCCTAGCTGACGGGCTCTCCCGTTTTCCAAACAAACTCCTGTTCCAGCAAATGAATTATTTTCATCAATGCTTACACGGAGACAAATACGTACTGCAAAAAACATTAATTAACAAACAATTTTTTCCCAAAGCTTTTTCTATGCTCGCTTTGCGCTTGCCAACCGTTAAAAATTAATTTATAAACTTTTCTGTTTGATGAAGGTTGATGATGAATTTGCGTCTTTGAAGTATTAAAATTTCCCATACTCAACTTTAAAAGAATTTTTCCTCTATGACATTCCGAAATCGAAAGACTTTTGTTTTGTGTGGATCCGAATGAAAATGCTTTTATAGTTGCAATGCCCTGGTGATGGCGTAGGCGTTTCCATTTTTCGCATTTTGATTTCCTTCATTTGTACCACTTTGCTGCCAGCTATTTTTCCGTTAGCTTTTAGTAGCTTCGCGCCTAGCATTGCATAGAAATCCGTTTTGCATCTTGTTGTATATTGCTACACTCTACACAAAATCAAGTATTTTCAGTGACTAAACTCTCCAAGCATCGAAAAATACGATCTCGAGAACAAAATACAGCTTTCAAGAACGAATTTCATGACAGGAAACACTCGATTTCAGTAAGTTCTTAGAAACTTACGGTCTACAGCAAGAATGAACTATTCTTATATGTAGAAATATTTGTACTTAATGCAAGTACGATTTATTAATAAAGTAAGAGAGTTGCAGGCATGATATAAGGACAAATAAAATCGGTGTATATATATCGTAAATTTAAAGTGGATTTTAATTATGTGCAAGTATGAGCAATAAGAACTGGAAACTCAAAAATATATAAATACCATTAGTCTTATAAGTTTACTTATGACTTTCCGGTCACGGGCAATAACACCGTGTGTCTTATGCGCCCTTTATACTGAGCACTTTTAGAATAAACAGTTGGGAATTTAAAGAGTTGATCGGTTTTTAAATCCAAATTTTACTCAATTTAAGACCTTTCCAGTACGAACGTTTTTAAAGTGTTAGGCATGAAACTGTTCTTAACTTAAGACCGTTTGTACTTGTTTTTTTTCTGAGTGTAGTGGCTTTAATCGGTTGCCTTCAGCATGAGCAGCTACATATGTATGTATCTGCAGTGTCTAACAAAGACTTTGGCAGGCAGCTAAATGAATGATTGCCTTATTCGTTGTCATCTCTGGTCCCCGATCGCTTTGATCTCGGCACCCAGTGTGGGATTGCCTGATAGAACGATTTCGGTTGCCTCCAAGGTTAGGCTTCCAAAGAAATATTTTTTGTTTTATATCATGGCTTTGGAGTTTCTGCACGACTTTGTTGGGTGGGCTGTGATCAGTTGGTTTCCATTTGTAAGCAGTGTTCGTATACCTATCAATGTTTTGCTTGTACGTCTAAAATGAAATTAGATTGTTTAAATAAATACTATACTACTTTTGTGTATATTTTTAATTGCCGTATCTGGTTTTCAATATTTTTGGTTGTGTTTATTTTGAGTATTTTTTATTTAATAACTCGGCGCTATTTTCTATTTCATATGAAGACGCCTTTTTTTTAAACCAAAGTAGGTACAATACAAATTCCTTTATATTTTAGCACACCCAGAATCTATAAGAAAATATAATCTAATATTTTGAAAAGGCAGAGGAAATATTAAAAACTAATGGTGTTATTCAAACTAAATTCTACTTGTGCAAAAGATAGTTTATTTTATCGAAAATTTGTATTAAAACAGTACTTTGTTTCTCACTTCCCGACAAAGCGCCCAAAATGTGATTTTTACAGCAAATTAATTCAATTGCTTATCAATGAACACATTTGAAAATAAGTACCCACATTAAGCACACATTCCATTGGAATTCTTCTGGGCTGGGCCATTTTATGGGCGACCGTTAAGCCACACCCCAATTTAACCGAACTTATTACTATGTCCATCGAAAATGGCATTCTTAGCAAATTTAATTCTCCATTTCCGAGTTGCTTTTTGATTTATTTGGTTTATGGGGATAATTCGTTGCGGCACAGAAATTACAATTCTCGCAGCACATAGCCGATGTTAAATCATTATGCATTGACGAGCGTCGTTTAATTAACCATGAAGCCCGGCAATCGAAGGCAAAGCGTAACCACAAAACTGAAATTAACTAAGAATCTAATACAAAAGTATGAAGCCAGAGCCCGTCACCTGTCGGCAGTATAGGATTTCAGCGTTCGAAAATAATTTCGCATATTCGCCTCTGAGAACAGAAAAGCACGGCAAACACGTGAGACGTGAGAGGGCGCGGCTTAGCCCCTGAGCCAACCCGACATTCGCAAATTCTCATCAGCTTTATATCTGTGGGTCTCCCCCGCCCCGGACATCGGAGCAATTCAAAACGCGTAATTGTTACACCCTGATTACGCGACCGCAGCGAACCACAAATTAAACAAGAAAGGAAGTAGCTTCGGCAAGCCGAAGTTTATACACCCTTGCAGCTCACCCTAGCAGCTGCTACTTACATTATAGAAAGCGTTTATTCCTGCACAGAGAGAATTGTGACGTTCTCATCTAGGATGAAAATGTTCTTCTAGTTTGGCGGGAATTCCAAAAAAACAGAGTTTTAAATATTTATAGATTTTTACAAACACATGTAATATTTCGTTGAATAGGTAATTGAATATGCTTATTAAACGACCTTTGTTAAAATTGTCAAAATACAATACTTTTAAAATAAGGTAATTTTTGTCAATCCGCTAAATACCAAATAATAAAAAATACATACATACAAAAGTTCTGAAAGCAAATTTTGTGAAGAAAAATGATTGTACATTCGTCTATATAAATGGACTATCGAAAAGGATATCTTCTACCTGTTACATAAGATCGACGAGTCTAGTTATACCATTTTACTCTTCTAGTAACGGGCATACAAATTAGTTGGCCGTTCACCAAAATAGGTAGTAAACCGAATAAAATAATATAAAGTATAGTAAAATACCCACTAAAAAAATATTCAAAATTGTGGGGGCCTTTAACTTTTGCGATTGTTCCATTGCGTTGTTCCATCTCCGACAGTTGCAGTAAAGCTGCAAACCTTGGGGCAGGGCCATATGGAGATCAGCAGCCAAGCTAGACTTCCATGCTTTGCTGGGTCTCTCAAGGTATGAGAGCAAAGTATTTTGATTTGGGGGGCTGCGGATGTGCGGACTGGAATGAAACCTTTAAGATGCAAAAGTATTACTCGGATAAAGTGAGCTTGAATTAAAATAACAATATATAATTTTTACATTTACCTTACAGAATTGTTTAAATAACTCTTTAATTAATGGTAAGAAATCAAACAACCTTAAATTGGCGATCGATATAATCAAATTAATTTATATCTTTTTATCTGTCAAAAAAAATATGCTCCCTATTCTTAAATGCACCTCCCAAGACTTACGGTCACCCAAGCGCTGAAGTGATCTGAAATATTTATCGATTTTGATCGCCAGGGAAAGATAAGCAATAAACCCGCAAACATCGATCGCTCCAATAAACGCAAAAGCGAAACAAAATTGTTCCACTTCAGTTGAGAAGCATAAAAGCAAAAAAAAGACGAAATGAACACAAAAACGAGAATTAGAGATCGACAACAGCACAAAAGTAGTTTAAAGGAAAATTTTTTGCCCGATCATTGTGCTGATTCTACTCATTGAATTCTATTTGTAATTGTGAGTGTGCAGAGGGAGACGCTGAACTTTGAATACGAATGAAATGGAAACTAAGCATCGATTGCAATTGAAAAACTGGAACTGGGGGAAGTGGCTGAGCAATTTGAGAAAACTAGCTGAAATTATAGGCCATACGGTAACGTCGATCCGCAGCGGAAATCACTCGTAATTACAAAAAGAGCCAGTCAACAGAGAGCAGTGGCTCTCAAACTGCGATTTAATTGTATTTTCCCTAGTTAATCACACTTTGTTTTTGGTCTCTCGAATCAGTTTGTACATATATACATATTCTTGAATACATTTAATTATATTCTGGCATTGGCCTTGGAATAAAATTTAAATAACAGATTTTGGTTTGCCCTTTTTTCTTCACATGCTGTCTCCCACGCGTGTTGTTTTAGTTCATATTAATATATCGCTTTTTGAGTTGTTTTTATGCCTTTGCAGAGGTATTTTAACTTCAGTCAGATGATTGAATTTGTTCGGATTCTTAAACCAATTCGTAAAGTTAAAGGATATACAGTGTTCCGAAAAAAAGTAGAGTACAGGCTTTCTTACTCTGTGTTGTGTGCATATTTTTGATTAGCATCAACTAGTCTTTCAAATTTAAAACTATAAGTGGTAGTATTGCATCATATCCTTAGCAATTCCAAAACATATAAGTTTTTAACGATTTCTTAGTGGGTTTTCAAAAGTTGCTAGAAAGCAGTTTATACAATCAATTCCAAAATTGGTAAACCAAAAATAGGATACAGAAGCTTCACGCAAAAGGATGTGAGCCTATTCTAATGTTTGTTAGGGTCAAAATAAAAATAAAGTTGCTCCCAACTAGCACTTTCAAGCGCTGATTTCGCCACATTTTGCTGGGTCCCTACAAATTCCTGTGGCTCAGTCAATTAGCCTCGAATTCGTTGACCCAAAAGCTGCCCGAGCCTCCTACCAAGTTCAAGTGCGCCCCACACTCGCGGGCTGGCAGCCATGACCACATGGACATGACAACATCTGCTCGGGCTGGCAGGCAGCAATCAAGCTGCAGATGCGGTCACATTGAAGTTATGCCGGCCGGCCGCGAAGGGAGAACCTGAAATCAAGTCTGCTTAGTCATCGAACTTGGCCTAATGCAAAACACTGGCAGCCGACTGCCGACTTGAGGATGACTCAGCCCTGGACTGGCAAAAAAAGCAAATGAAAAAGAAAGACTGAAATGTGCTACCAGTTTAGCCCACAGAGCCAAGAATCGAAGATCCAAAGCTGAACTGGCTCGGTGCTTCTGCTGCTGTCCTACTCCACTTCTTCATGGACCCGAGATTCCAGCGTGTTGTTGGTTGTTTGTACTCGGTTGCTGGTTGTTATGCCCAGTCATGGTTTGTCGGCTCTGCCACAAACGCCCGCCCTCAACAGGCGATATGTTTTTCCTCGCGGAGATGTATCTAATGGAAGCATTACACTGTGAAAAGTTGTTTGGTGCAAAGTAAAGGTAAATGAAAAATTCAAAACGGTGCAGATCAGAGAACTTTAATGTTGACACCGTGGACGACAGTAGGCGTAGTTACGAAACGCATCAGGAGAGTGTGCGGAGGCTACTACTACAAATACCCGAAAAACTGAAATTGTGCTTCGATGTTTGGATCTTAATGGGGAAATACACCCATAGAAAAAGCAAGAGAAAACGCTATAGTCGATGGCCTCGACTATCGGAAACCCTCAGCTAAAAGGAGTGCAAGAGAGAGATGGAGATATGCATGCAGAAAATCGGCTGTTTCCGAGATTTCACATCACACCAACACGCCACCTAGCGTCTAGTCCTTTATTTGCCTAAAACTTTTTTATAATGGTCTGATTATAATACGTTTTAATTTTTAAATGGGTATTGATAACAAAAACAAAATCCCATATACACTTACAAAATCTTCAAAAATGACGCTTGATAGGTCTTAGTGTTATGGACGTTTGGCACTCCAATGAAACAACATTCTATCTCTTATAGATTCCAAGATCTCAGCGTTCATACGGAGAGAGGGCTTGATCGAGTCGGTTATTCCAATCCAGAATTTATAGGGTCGGAAACGCTTCCTTCTACTCTTTTTCTCTATGAGTGACTTGTATAAAAAATAAGGAAAAGTGTGGGGAAATTGTAAAGTGGAGCTATTTATGAAAGAAGGTTACTAAAGTTCGAATTAAACAATATACACTGAACAATTTTGATTCCCAGCTTTGGTTTTGTTTGCCTTATTATTCAAAGTAAGTGAACAGTACTTAAAAGTATATCTCGGAACTCGAAGATTACTGAGCAGTTCACATTGTTGATATCAGAATGGGTCCCTCTGTTTGATGAAAAGATTGTGTGGAACTACAATTGATTGTCAACAGAACTTTCTGAATTCAATAAAAAAGCTATAGGTTTCTCTCAGTGCATGGCCACATTCCTGCCTCCCATATATTTCGTACGTGCTGCGGTGTACGGCCCTCAATTAGTTATTCACATAACGTGCTAAACCAAAATGCAAGAAATGTAAAATGATGACAAAGCCACCCCCACCCGCGAGTTGATTAAGGCCCGCATCCAGCAGCACTGGCTACTTATGCCTGCGAGGGGGAGCTCATCCTCATACTCGCCACCATCCGCATCCTCGCTTGCATCCAGCAACTCGAACATTGTTTGCCTGTCTGGGCTTTGACAAAACTTTGCATGTCATGTTGTCATTATGGTTCCTTACCCTTTTTCGCTTCCTCGGAGCCCTTGCTCCCTTGCAAGAGCGGATCCTTTGGCTGACATTGTTTGTCTACTTCTTGGGCTGCGGTGGGCTCTTCGTGTCTGCCGCAGCCGGATATTCATAGACATTATAGACACTTATCATCGGTTTAGGCCTCACGCCTTTTGTCTCAGCCCCAGCCAAGTTTGCATCTCCCCTTTTCAGCACCTTATCCCTCCTCAAGCAAACCCAGATCCCTCTCAGGTTATTCCAGTGAATTAAAGTTGTCAAAAGCCTCTGCTCACCCTCCATTCAATGCCGTAAATGCTTTACAAACTTTGAGAGGAAAAAGGTTTGCGGAGTAAAAGTGTGAAGTGTACTTTGGCAATGTTATTTGTTAAATAAATTGCCTAAAAAGGTTTCGATTGTGGTTTATTTCATAATTACACTTACGTCTATCTGAAACTAATTAAGCTCAAATTAGTTTCAAAAGCCAAATTATTAGCCATTACTGAAGCTTACGCGTATTTGGGTCAGCGGTATTCGTCGAGGCCTCTATCAGGTGGTCTGACGTCAGGCCCGATCACTGGAATATATGGGACTAGGAGAGCAATAAGACTCCATAAACCAAAAACTGTGTCAATGGAACACAAAGAGACTTCTTTGTTTAAGAGGTCGTTAGCTCACCACCAAAATCAAAGTCGTATAATCAATACCCCAATAAACGTGAACAAAAATCGTTATTGATTCGTGGCTGGTAATATTTTTACTTGAATTGATAATACCAAAAGGCGGTATAAACTGATTGCATAATCGGGGAACCCACAACACCTTGCAACATTTGACCACAACCAAATTGTGGAGTGTAGCAATAACTCGAAATACGAGAGAACTGCAATAAGTTGTTTGTTTACAAATCAGTTTGGCATTAAACTTTGGCATTTCGCTGGAGCATATTTTTATATTTGGTATTACAAACGGATTGGTTATGAAACGGTGGGCAGTGCACACCCAAAAAGTTCAAGTGTATGACGACACGATAGTAGCACTCAGAACCAACCGAAAAGTATCTGACAGATACACACGTCGATGGAACGACTGCATCGCCTGCTTGGATTGCCTGGCTTGCCTAACAAGCGGAAAGCAAAAACATAACAGTAAAGTAAATTAAGTAAAACCACACACCAGAAGCAGCCACATAAGCAGAGATACAAATGCACTGCGGGCAAGAAGCAAAAAGAAAACCGGACCGAGCCGGGTCTTAGATGAGAGTAAATGTTGGTCTAGAGTGTCCGAGAATGGAGAACACAAGCGTTTTGTGTGCAAGTGGCGAAGGGGCTGTGGGAGGGGCTAGCTGGCTGTCTCATGGCAAAAGTGGCTGACCTCGAGAATTCCCGCTCACGTTAGAAGCCAAAGAGATCACTCAAATGTATCGGTATCTGTATCTAAATCTAAATCGGTACTAGCCGCTCGCCGGACTCTTGTTCCACGTATCATCGCTTTGGGCTTCTTCACCTATGTCGAGTTCATATGCCTAAAATTGGTAGCTTGCCTCATAAGTTGGTTATATTCTTTTGGGGCGAGCAGTAGGTTTTTTTTTCTTTCGATTGAGACTTGATTGCGGTCTCTTGTGTTAATATATTACTGCCAATAGAAAATACAATAGCGCCTCCTTAGGCGACTATGAGACCTGGTTTTTAAAGATATTCGTTGGAAAAAACTTTGTAACTCGGCTAGTCGTTTTAAGGCTTGTTCGTTCTTCAAGTTTAATAGTTAGCACTTAACTAATTACTGTGTTTTCTTTATTTTCAGATAATATTCTTAACAGTGACAATAACTCAATTATACCAAATCGGTAAGTTTTGTTCCAAAAACAAATCTTTGCCAAATGACTATTAAATCAACCCATATAAAACCAATTGTCTGCCATATGTTCCCTCCCTAAGTTGTGCAAACTTTTAAATCGAAACTACCACAGTTAGCGTATGTCGAAATCCAAATGTAATGTGCAGCATTGATGTATATTTTACAATACACTTTCGATAGGTATATATATACCAGTGACAGTTTTCATTATTTTAAAAAATAAAAACCAACAATTTCTTTTATTAGCTTTGTGTGAAGCAAAACCAGCGGATTTAACGTCGTAGATCTGACTCAAAAAATAATCATGCCTTAGTTGAATTTAAATTCCCATTTCCATTTTATATTACTGTAAGGGCATAAAAGCATCGGCTTGCCGGAGTTAACTTACTTCCCGTTTTCATGAGGTTTTGTCAACAAAAAAGTGGTCGACGATTTCCGGTGCCGAAAGCATTACACAGGTGCTGCACAGAATACAAGCATTCACCAAAATAATTACAGTATAACATCCATTAAAAATAATAAAATTTCTCAAATATGCACATTAAACGGAAGTTTTATGTTAGAGAATGTCGAAATATTTTTTTATTTATTAAGAAGTAACGCCTTTTTAACTTTTCAATATAACAGTGTCGATCCAGCTTTGAATGTTCGTCTGTATGAACGTCGATATTTCTTCAAAATTCAAAATTTTCCGAGAATATTTAGTTTATAGCCTGGGTGTAGACTTTTTTTTAACGTCGAAGAGAACCCTTTCACGCCTAATGCCCAGAAGGGGGTAATAATGAAAGGCAAGCCATGACTGATTGTGGCTTAGGCAGACAACACTTGTAAACTTAAAGACCACTGCGTCCTGCAAGAGGGACAAATTAATCAATCACTGATCTGAAACTTAACTTTACATTATTTCACAATTAAGACCAGGTTATTGATGAAGACTGCTGCTCAGAGAAGACTTGTAACTAGCTCGGGACCTAATTAATATTCTTTATAGACAAATGGTATATTGTATTCGGGGAAAAGTATGTAGTAGGTAGAAGAAATCATTTCCGACCGCATATATTATGTCGTTGTCCTGGAGCTTGATTTGCTATGGCTGGTTGTAAGCGAATTTGCACGCCAAACGATGATCTACAGATTATGCTAACAAAAATGTAATAAATATTGGTTCGACTCGAAATGACTAAAGCATCTTCCTATTAACATTTTTTGGTTTGAATTGGTTTTCAAAAAATGGTTTCTATATATTTTGTTTTGCGTTAAGTTAGTTTGCAAACAATTCTTTTACTTTATGTATGGATATTCTAAAGTCTATAATATGATGGAACCTCAAGGTATTTTTGAATACAGATTTTTTGTCAATTTCATTGTGACTAAAAAGTACACAAATTTGAACAAGGGGACATTGAAACAAGAGTACATTTCTTCCTCAGGGGTGGTGTCGTCATGATAAAGTAATGTCAAGTCTTATGCTGATGCAGTCACTCTGGATATGTTCAGCTTTTTATACCCGTTACTCGTAGAGTAAAAGGTATACTAGATTCGTCGGAAGTATGTAACAGCAGAAGGAAGCGTTTCCGACCCACAAGTATATATATTCTTGATCAGGATCACTAGCCGAGTCGATCTAGCCATGTCGTCCGTCTGTCCGTCTGTCGTCTGTCCGTCTGTCCGTCTGTCCGTCTGTCGTCTGTCCGTCTGTCCGTCTGTCCGTATGAACGCTGAGATCTCGGAAACTATGAGAGTTACAATACTGGATTAGCACGCAGATTCCTGAGATTCCTGCGCAGCGCAAGTTTGTTTCAGCACAGTGCACGCCCACTCTAACGCCACAAACCCCAAACTGTGGCTCTACAGTTTTGATGCTAGAATAAAATTTTAACTAAATGTATTGTTCTCATCATACTATCGATTGACCCAAAAAAGTTTGCCACGCCACTTTAACGCCCACAACGCGAAACTGTGACGCCCACAATTTTCATGCTAGATAAAAATTTTAACTGAAATGTATTGGTCTCGTCGATACTATCGATTGATCCAAAAAAAATTTGCCACGCACTTAAGCCATTAAATCATAGGTAGTGCATTATCTCCTTTGTGTGCATATAAAGTAGTAACTATCGATGCAGTCTCGATATGTTCTTTTTTTTCATTATAATTCTGTTTAACGTTATGAAGGTAATTTTCAATCGACGAATGCAAATCTGACATCGTGTCAAAATGCATTCTCATATCGAAAAACCAACGCGAAGACAAGAAGTAATCGCCAATGGGAAAGGGAAGGCGTGCTTCGTGCCTTAGTAATACCTGTAAATATTTTATCTGTTAGTAAAAAAAAGCGCCGTTGAAGCAAATCATAGGCGATTTTCTAAAAACAAGGTGATTTTCGTATTTTTTTCTTTGAGCGTTTATAGCCGCAGAATTGAAAATTTGCACTGATTGTCCAATCAAACAAGTGATAAACAAGTGATAAAAGGCAAGTGTAAAAGTGAAAACGTAGAAAATACAGTTTTGGGCCGGAAAGCCAGGTTATTAGCCTAGTTTTATTCTTACTGAGAATTCGCGCCGAATGACACTCCATTTGTTAAAATCCGATGCTCCGTTCCCAAAACATGATTTTGAGAGACTTTCCAAAATTAAAGTGTTTGTCCCTTTCTTTGTGGGTTTGTATGAAGCCCTTTTTGGTTTTAGGGTCTTGGGGACTTTATTGGTGTATTTAAAAGCTCGATATAGAAAGCTTTGTAAACGATTCTTATTCAATTTCAAACTGTGTAGCCCTTGAAATTCCTGATATATCACTTTTTTGAGATATTGAACCATTAAAAATTCAACCCGTTTCAGTTCAGTATGAGATACATTTATGCTTACTTGGGTGGTCTAAAACTATGTGATCGTCGCGACCCCTTACCTCGTTAAAGATTTTTTTTTGTGAGAAACTATTTTTAAAACTGAAACTGTTTTAAAAACGATTGTCGATTTTAGTTTTGCAAATGTTAGTATCTATTAGTAGAAGTATAAAAGAATTTTTTATTTTTAACTTACATACTTATAAGTAGATGATTCAATATCGGTACAGAATTTTAATAAAAACACTGTACAAATGTCTTGTTTGCTTATTGGATGATTAAGAAAAAAACAAAATTATTGCACAATCTTAACTTTACGAAAAATTCTCTTCAAACGAAAAATATATTCCCGTAGAAATTATAAGTAATTTGCCGGTGTACCACTTTATTAATATTAAATACTCCCCAGAGGGAAGCGGAACTGGAATCTGCTCTCCTATGAGATGAAACCCAGTTACGTATACTGGACCCTGTAAAATATAAAGTATGTATTTAAATTCACTAGTTTATGATTGTAAGTAAGTCTTACCAAAAAGGGACAAGTGAAATTAAAATTGGAATGTTTTTTAAAAAGTTTAAAAACAAGTATTACCGGAGCTTCATATGGTTTTCGCAGAAATCGACACCCATCAAAGGTGATGTTGTAGAGCCAAGGCTTAAATCCATTGCCCCGCTTAAAAATTTGAGCATGTACTCGAAGGTTAGAGACTACTTTTTGCACAGTTCCATTGAAACTTAAAGTAGTTCTATCCCTTCGAATCGCCTTTAAACGACATGTGTGCACCAAAATCCAATTTGTATCCGCTGAATCACAAACAAAGTTGGAAAACTTGAATCTGGAAGCGTTCTTAACGAAAATTTCTGTGTGTGCAGTTTGACTTTTTCTTTTAGGAATTACTTACAATGCAACCAATTTCAAGGCTAAAATATAATGCAAGGATTATAGGTACAACTTTTGATCCAGTTCCCATCGTGCAGAAAGCAATATTTTATACTAGTTGAGGCAAAACTCATTCATCAGGTTTTCCATTGAGACTATTTTTTCGTCATTACCGGTCAAAATAAATCTACATTTAAATATAAAAATAATTGTACCCAATAATTACACATAGACTAAAAGGCTATATAACATTTGATAATTTATAAATAAATGAAGAAAACTCTGTTAATCCTAAAAGGAAATCACGGTAGACGGCAGTCAACGTAGTGACGAATCGCAAATAAATTGTTCTCATTCGACACGCCGCCATACAATATGCCAGTGTAGGCAATTGTCTGTACGGTTTAATGACGCGTGCCGGATGACAAAAATTTATTAAGCGTATTTATTTAGTAGATCGTATAATACATTTTCGCCACAAAATTGAGACCAGAACTTTTGTATGTTTAGGATGCGATCTACACTAGTTTTTTCCCTTACTAAGTGTAAGTGTAAGAAAATAACATTTTTTTGACAATGTAAATTCTTTTTTTAAACGGATCTTGATTCCATAAAAACCAATTATTCTTTCTTTTTCATTCGAATTAGCCAAATGCCATTCAACACCTATCGGGTCAAAAAAAAAATTAAAAACTGGGGAAAGTAAACTTTGGCTGTGGGCCACCTATGGTTTAGCTGTTACTAAGCCGTAAAAAGTGCCTAAAAATCGAAAATGTACACAAAAAAAGTTCAGGTTTAATAACGCTTGTATAAAAAGTATACCAAGCTAGTATTGAATTAAAAGTATGGAAACAAGACTAAATATTACTCTAGTCAATATTTTACAGTTTAATTTCTACATTACAGAGTCTTGAATTTCGATTTGTGGTAATATTTTTAAATAATATTAATAAACAATTAAATGCTCATCTTATCGACTCAAAATTTCTCCCGTTTTTTTTTGGTATATAACAAGTTAAAATGTATATTTGTCATAAAAATAAAATGTTTGCTAAACTATTATGAACATTCGGACCAGCTAAGAACAAGTCAGTCCTTACAAAGCAAAATGTATGTACACATACGCGGTCTGTCAATTTCAAATCTAATATTAGAACAACGAAAGTTTAATTTAGAATGACTGCCAACAATTAATACATGCATTAGACCCCAAAGCACATTTGTGCCCTGTACTTTCAGAATAAAATTAGGGGTCCAAACAATGGAAATCCGTTGGGTTCTGTTGCATGGCCAACGATGCGCACAAAAATAAAGTTTAGGTTGGTTTTATGCTGCATGTGTTTGGCACATGTGCAGCAGAGCCATCGATAGTTTGGAGGCGAGGTGGATTGCTTCTACCTCATGTTGCCCGCACATTTTCTTTTTGAACTCCTTACTTTCAGCTGCGTTGGCCACCGAACTTTTTCCCTACTCAAACGACGACACTAGCCTCAAAATCCTAAAAAAATGGGGAAAATGGCACTGCGCTTGCTTCAATTTGTTTTGCTTCAAAATGTCTATGCCACAGAAAGACATATCGGGAAGTATAATTACAAAAATGCTTTTTAGAACTGAGCTTGCATTTAAACCATTTATAACTCTATAAAGTATGTATATATACATACATTCTTGATCAGGAGCACTGCCTAGTCCGTATGAAAGGCTTAGTCTCAGCTTCTATAAGCGCAAGAAGGTTAGGCTTAGGTATCCAGAATCTAACAATGCCTATAGTGCAAGTTTTCACCGACTTATGGTGGTTTCACTCTTGTGCTTACCGAAATTAAGGTTATAAAAAACCGACTGCATAATGCTGATCGCGAATATATAAAAAAACTTTTATATTTTATCATCGTTTAAACGCTTTGGTAATAAAGTGTGTAATAACCAATTTTGAGCTAAAACCTTGTAGAAGGAACTCAGTTACGATTATTCAATTAAATCCTTCTTGTTTTCTTCCTTCTATGTAGCGAATTAAACATTCTGTCACGCCTTGACACAAGATCGTTTTATAAAGCCAAACTGCTGTCCATGTATGAAATTTTAATTTCAGCTACAGAACATTCTTGGCAACCTTTTTTTCTGGGGCGTGTCTCGTGGCTGTGGAGCCTGACTTTTGGTGGGTGTGTACGAATTTAAATTTTTAGCATGTAACTCATTTTTAACGCAAACAAAATAATTTTGAACCTACTGGCGGTACGCAAAATGGGTCAGGCCGAAAAGTGAGTGTGTGCAGGTCGAGGGATTGATTAAATAGCCCGGACCGCAATGCATATTAACGAAAAACGGATACTGAAACTGTTCTTTAAGCGAAAGCGGAGTTAAGAATGTAGTTTCTGCTTGCACAAAGTGTGTAAAAGCCCAAGAAAAAGGTTAAACACAGATGGCAACACAGTTTGCTAGCAATTTCAGGCAGCCAACAGCAGCTGGCTTGAAATGCAACGTATCTAAGCGATACAGATACAAATGCTCCGAAATTGAAATCAAATTGCCACCATAATGCAAATGCTGCAGTTTGTACATTGTTTGGTTTTCCTTTCATTTGCTTGTTTTTCCCAATTTTCCTGTTGATTTGGCAATTTTCAGCCCCGCATAAAGATAGCAATAGTTGCTGGAGACAGAGATGGAGACATGCATGTCGCTGCAAAGAGTTACAAATTGCAACTCAGTGCCAGAAGAATGTGCCATGATAAGTCAATAACTATTATTAACATAGACCGACGCTGCCGCGCAGTAACTCGCAGATTGAGATGGCGATCTGAGATGCAGATACAGAAACAGCCGAACAATTTCAATTGCCGCTGATTGTATCTCGATGGAGCGAAAGTGCATTTCGGCCTTATCGATATTGAAATGTTAATGAACTGAAAATTTTGCGTGTCGAATTGTCGAACTGTTCGCGCTGGGCATGTTTTGAAGATCTACGATCAGATCGCGGCAGCGTGATAATTGCCCGGCTTTGTTCAGTGTACTAGCATACCGAGATTGCCATTGCTGTGATTGGAAAGGCAACAGCGACTGACAAAGACCAAGAGCAAGACTGAAAACCCCTTCGAGACTTCACTCTACACTTCACACTTCACTTTCCATTTTGTTGTTTTCTGGCCACGCTTGAAAAATATTTCAATTAATGCAATCGAAAAATGAGTGGGCCAATGAGAAATAGGAATCGTGGCTACAACAAAAAGGGTAAAAATAGATTTTCACCATGCATTTTCTACATTTCAATCGGTTTATCACGGAATCTGCAGATATATTTTTCAGTTTTCTTTTTGTTTCATGATCTTTATTTTCAAAGTCACTCCAAAATAAAATAATAATAAAGAAATTACTTGAAGCGATCATTGTTTCTTGACTTCTTTTGAATTGACCTAGAGTCAAAAATATTCTATAATCCCGTCCCACTTCCATTTGAATTGCACAAAACAGGGTCAACGTATTTTACAATTTTCAAAGGGATTTCTAAGCTTCGGAAATGCCTTACATCGCAAAGTAGTTACAATGGCAAAGTTTAATGAACGATAGACTAGGATGGACCTCTTTGTGGTCCTCCACCCCACCCACAGCTGAGATACTTGATTGGCATCTATTAACCTCTCGATCATTGCACAACACTGGGCAAGTGAAATCGACAGCTGAGTGCCCGTGGAATACGTGTACACATGTTTTGGCATGGCATGTCACCTAATGCGCCTGATATCTTGCGGATACCAACATGTAACACGAAGAAAAGGCATTCATTGAAGCGCATGGCATGGCCGTCGTTTCGATTTATGAGCCAACCCACGACATAAGCTGTTGGGAGGTGGTTCGGTGGTTCGGGTTCGGTGGTTCGGCGGTTTGGTGACTCGGTGGGTTGGACTCTTTGAGTGATGGCTGCACATCAGCGCCCACAAAAGCAGCCGGCGACACTTTCAATTGCACGCCTTGAACTCGGATTCGGATTAGATTCGGGTTCGGACTGCGGATTAAAACGGGGACGGGAAGTTGTACTGTGAAAAATACATTTCCACTACAAATTGGCTTTACTATCTCATCCAATTTTAGTGTGTGAGAAAATTGTAAGATTAATACCAAGGTTTCAGGCAATTTTTCCATAATATAACTCGTTTTTTCCGCTTGTAATTTAAAACTCCCGCTTTAAAATCAAAAAAAACATTTGGGGATGTTTTTCTCAGTGCAGTCGCACTTTCTCGGTGTCGCGCTTTGATTTGTTTTCCATGGGTTTTCTTGCTTTATTTTTATGGCTTCTTTTGGCGCAACAATTTGAATGTCATTAGTGTCAGTGGCCGGCAACTAACGGAGCTTGACACCATCTCGTCTCCACCACCCAATACCCACTGATGATTTTCCGACGCCGACCCACCCCACACACCCTGTGATTTTTCTTTTTCACACTTTTCAGCGCGACCGAGAAACAATTTTAATTTAAAGTCACGTTAAACATTAACTACAATGCCACTTTCCAGCTGGTCAACTCATCGAGCTGGTCTACTTTTGGTTTTGTTACCGAATCGCGGCCCCTAGAAAGTGTCGCCGGCTCCATTCGAATGAGCTGGCCGCTCAGCAGATCATTAGCGAGGTCTCCGCTACTCAAGCGGCATCCAAGAGTACTACGGTTATTATTTGTTTTCCCCAAGGAAAACACAAACTCAGCCATTGTTCTGGGGCATAGTGCTCTGCAATCTGATTTCACTTGCCTGATAAGGTAATACGTTTGCCCCTCTTTAGATTGAAGTCCCTGATAAATATTTAATTAGATATTTTGCTGGTACAGAACGGTCTGGTTATTGTTTGTCCGCCGTCTTCTAAGTGGGAAACAGACAATGATCGTCTTCTATGAGCACGGAGTTCTGTTTGCCTTCGCATTAGACGATGGTAAACAATGAGCAAAAAGCTTCTAGCTGTGATTGAGTGGCTGGGATTATGGTGATTCAGAGTAATCTACAGGTGGAGGGGATTGAACTAACTAAAGATTGAACTATTTGAAACAGACACTCGGAAAAGTCATTATTTGTTGAACAAACCAGCTTTTAAAGATTATTTTCTGTTCCATGTATTTTTTTTCGTTTTGTTTAGTTTTAGCGGTAGAACTAACCACTTTAATGACTTGTACACATACATAATAGTTGATGTTTCACAAGCCGTAACTAACTTTAAGTAACTTTAAAAATGTAAATAGGTGTTTCCCTACTTGTGCGTTTGTAATTCCCAACTGGTACAATCGCTTAGTGAACCAAGATGATTCTACCCATTTCGCTTGTTTCTAATCATAAGAAGAAATGTATACTTCAAAAAACCTCAAAGCCTTGCCCTTGTTTGCCTGAAATACAACTTTGTGTGGATCGTTTGCCTGGGCTTTCTTTGATGTTGCCAATCGCCGCTTTGGAGTGGCTCTAACTGCTGCTAATTAGCTAAAACACAGACCCGCGGAGAACGTCCAAGACAATTGCGTGGCATTTACGCGCCGCTCTCTGTAGAAGAATTCCCCTTCCCCATCGGTATTCTCACTCTCTTCCACTTCTCGACTCGTCATCAAAGTCGCCATTATTAATTAATTCAGCACCCGGGCCCATTCAAAAACATCTTGATACAATTTCCAGCCAAGAGCCGACAAATAGACGTCCCCTTGGCTTCGAGTCTCGATTGGCGCCATTAAGATAAGACTTAACGTTGATCTTTTCCTAACCATTTTTATCCAATTATCATTTTGCTCGCTTAGCAATTATTGTTAATTTGTCGACACTGGGCGAGCAAAGCCACACTTGGAAAGTTGGCGCGTTTCTTATGTTAAAGATAAAGCACAGTCTTGCCTTTCTGTTAAATTTAAATTATTGCAATTTTCTTCTTCAGTCGTTCATTTAGCACAATAAAAAAAATTCCCTTTGGTTTAGTGGCGGATCCAGAATTTGATGATAGGGGAATATTTGTTGAGTAGAAAGCAAAAATTTGGATAAAATACATTTTACCCGAGTGGGGGATCTATCCCCCATATCCCCCAATGGATCCGCGCATGCTTTAGCCCCCTGTTCAAAAAATATTGCCTATCTGAATGGAGTAACTTCTAAGTAGAGGGGTATAAAATTTTTTACTAATTGTAAAAATAACTTCTTTTGATAACCACGCAGATATTTCTAATGGTTGGCGTTGAAAGGATAGAGAGATAAAAAATGCACCTCATCTTTTGCCCTAAATACCTTTAAGGACACTTATTTTTTTAAATTTCTTATTAATAGGACACAAATTATCCTAAGAGGATCACCATTTTGATCTGTGTATAGTAACTGCTGCAGTTGGTTAAATCCTCAGCTCACCGCTAATTACTATAATTTTAGTTTTGCTTTAATTTCTCTTGGCTTTTGTTGCAGTTATTCATTATTTCTAATGTCTTGCTGTTGTTGCTTGCTGAATTCATATGCAAATAAGCATTTAAGACTTCGCAATGAGTGCCTAACATCACCATTAGCTAATGTTGATTAGCCCGTGCCATTGTAGAGTCTCTTCTGGCGTCTCGAGTCTTCTGTCTCCCACGCTCCATCTCAAGTGCCTGTCCTCTCCACTTCAATATTGGAGTGCTGAAAAGCGTTGGCATACTACATGTGCTGATCAAATTTGCTATGCAAGAGTGCGAGAGAGAGACAGCGAGAATAGTGATCATGAGCAAATCAAGAGTTATATGACAAGCGGTGATAATCTAAGTCGATGGCAGAGTCTTTACAAACATATTATACTTAATAAACATTATCAGGGTTCGGAGTGCCGCCTAATGATCAGCTTCAGTTTCGATTTTGTGCCCTTCACAATACAGGAAGCCGTGGGCATATCTAATACTTATCAGCTGTCATATTAACCTCATAATCAAGATGGATACAGGTCTAGCAACTCTTCCCCCCAATGGCAATAGCCCGCTTCTCTTGCAACCTTTTGAACCCACTTTCTGGGCGAACACTCGAAACATGCTGGGATGCATTCACAGAAAATTAACAAACAAGCTCGATTACAAGAGGGGGAAGACAGTAGAATACCTATAGTTATTAATTAGTAGGAGGGAATGAAAACCGTAGCAAAACGATCAAAAAATACCGGGTCACATAGAGTGAGCGGAGGGCAGGAAAAATAAAGAAAAACAAAGCAGCACAAGCTCGTAGGCCGACAGATGGATGACGAACGATGCGGATGACTCCGTGGATGGGCCGGTGGATGATGGTGGAAGACGTTGGCTGGGGCACGACGACGATGATGACTGCGGCAGAAGCTTAAAGATTGACCCGCATACCAGCGTGTGGGTCCCAGGCCAGTGGCTCATCCACTCAGACAGAGGGACGCGGGGGAAACAATTGCACAATTAGATAAAGCATCTTATGGATGCACTTTGATGAATGTTAATTGAACTCCGCACTGTGCTTTTCGAGCATTGTTCAGCTGTCGTCGTCTGCCAGTTGAGGAAATGCCTGCCAGTTTTTCTGCAGATCCTTCACGGATGCGGTGCCAGAAACTAGCTCAGCAGACGATCCACCTGCCCACTCGGCATCTCCACCGGGGTTAATGGTTCCTAGATGGGGCCGCCACTCGCATTCCGACACCATATCAACATGCGATTCATACTAAGTAAGGTGTTTCTTTTGTCTTGCAGCTAATGAAATTGGACACCTCCAGAAACCCCGCTCGATGTGCGTGGGTGGTGGCGCATCACCTGTGAATCGAACTCGGAGCCATGTTGAGCCGCTGACCAGAGGCCAAGAAACCCGCGTAGGAGTCTTCTGCCATGTGAGCAGCGCTCAGTCAGCGCACACAACAAGCAACGAACAGCAAAACTACCGAAAAGAAAAGCTATCCAGGGACAGGTTGCACTAACATCGAGCTCCAAATGGAGGCCCCTGATCAGGATGTCATGCTGGAGGGCGGCGAAGACCTTATGTCCACATCGGCCTCCTCCACAAATGGCGGGGACACTAATGGTTGCGGCAAAAAATTGGTGAGTTTTTCCCTGATTATAAGCCTAAGTGTTCACAAAGTAAAGTGCTGGAGATGTAATCTGTTACTCTCGCACGAATAACAGTAGGTAAATAATATCCAGGAACCCTCAGTGACCCTATTTCACAACAAAGCACTTTAAGAATATTTCGGGTCAAACCAAAAAAGTATTTAGTGTTTAAGTGTGTAAGAAAAGTTCTTAGGGAGTTCCCTCTAAGTTAAATTCCTCCATATCGACGGAAACATTTGCCAAGCACCATTTGCCTTTTGCCATGCTGGGTGCTGGCCTAATACTGCATAATACCACAACTGAGTGGGTGGGAAATACGTCTGAAAAGCACTATGACCATTGCCAACGTTAAAGGCAAGAGCACGCTAGAGGAGTGCAGAAAGCAATAAAAATAACATAAAATACTTAACGGTTTCGTTTTCTTCCAAAAAATAGTGGCGTGTATAACTTTTCAAACGTTGCACGAATGAACTTAAATTTTATTTAAAGTGGTCACTGCTCTTACTTATTTTCCATAAATTTATGAGTACTTTCTAGGCTTGGAATATAAGGTTCATCGGAAACGGCAAAGGGTTTCCAATACTTTATAAACTGCAAAAAAATTGACTTTATTGATTCCCTCCGTAATCATATATGACTCAGAGCTTACCCAACGTACTTAAAAGGTGAAAATAAATCACAAAACGCAGTCACTTAAGGACTCAAGGTTTTCCTTGACCTGAAGTATTAGCCAATCAGAATTTCCATATAAGCCGATGAATATTTTATGCAATTAAAGACCGCTCAAGGCTGCCGCTTAATAAGCGAGATATTAAATGGGACTTAAGAGCAGAAAGTGCAGGCAAACTGCCCACACGTTTACATGGGAGCAGTATCGGTGACTCCGCACCCGGGAATCTGGTCGCTGGCATTTGCATTTGACTCTCGGTCTTGATCCCCTGCCCCCAACTCCACTCAATTGAAAGCAATTCATGCTAATTAGAAGTGTTATTGCATTTACTGAACTTATGGTTAATTGCAGACCGTAACCTCGCCGGATCCCACGTCGTACGTGACCAAGCAGCGAGTGACGCGGCCCACGCCGCCTGCTCCTTCGAAGAATCCGATGCAGTTCGTCCAGATCAAGCCCTGCAACCTGTATCAGACCGCGCAGGAGCAGCTGAAGAAGGCCGAGGAGGTCAAGAAGCTGAAGGAGGTGAAGAAGGAGGAGCCAGAGGAGTGGCAGAACGTAAGTCCATAGCACAGGTCACCCCGATCCAGGAAAGCCGAACCATCATAGAGTCGCTTTTTGATAGATTACGGCGATATTTACATGACATTTAATATCCGAAGCTGTTCATAATGAAAGTTGTGTCGAAAGGGTATTTACGCATCGGCTCCCTTTCTTTTTTCGCTTGCTTCTCGAAATGGGTAAACCAAAGCGAAACCACTTGGGCATGGCACATGGCACATGACTCGTTATGGCCGCTCCAGTTTCCAATGCACGTCGCCCGTTAGCGGACAAAAAGATATTGCATTGCATAATCACTATTACATTTTGTTGATAGTTTTTTCCCTGCCGACTGCTTTTTTATTCGCTTCTATTTTCTTTGCACAACTCTGTGTGTTACATGCAAATTTGCTGCCCGGCGAAGAGCTGCCTTTGACGTGACTGTACCCACCTAATTACCTAATCTGCCAGTTCGATGCAGTCGCTGCATTTGAAGTGCCTTTGGACGGATGACCAATGTTCCATGGGCAGCATGCTCACCCAAATTTCAGAGGTTCCCAGACATAACTTTTGCGTTACGACTGTGTGCCAAAAACAAAAGGCAAAAATCAATTAAAATGCGTAGAGCGTTTTGGAACTGGGCGACCGATTGCGATGGGAAAGGAAGTCCAAATGCCGCTTTAATGGTCTTGGGTGTAAATTGCCTTCCTTTTGTTTATCAACCACTGCGAGCTTTTTATTCAGCTATCTGAATTGCAGATCAATAAGACCATCGGAGCCAGCCGGAAGCTTCTTACCTCTTACTCAAACGAGGAAACAAAAGAGCTCCGATGAGATTAATATTATGCGGTGATTGTCATTATCGACATGAAAGAAATATTCACGAGATAAACTGAACGCAGATACCAGATCATTTAGGCAGAGAATCGTTCGTTGTAATCTGAGGTTCGGCACATCTCTCTGATTCATACGAAATGGGATCAGAAATTCGTTGTATGTATAAATACACTGCGGACAGCCGTCATGAAACTGGGGGAAGTTCACGCGCTTCGAAACATTTCACCTTTGTCACGTAGTTCCGCGGCCGCGTCAAAACTTTTTAATTGCCGTCAAAAGAAACTTTTGCTCGTCCACTTCCACAGTGCGAATATACAATGATATTTACACTTACACGTCTTCCCATTTTATTTTCTATACTAACTTTCGCTGCCTTTCTGCCCCGAAACAAAACACGGCCAACAATGCGATGTGGTGACAAACAACAAACTACAAATAACATGGCAAACACAAAACAGAACCTTGACAATTGGAAATCATCACGGCGAAAACGTGTCGAGCACATCATCGATCGAGCGGTGGAGACCAAGAAACTCGAGCTGGAGGAGCATGATCGCATGCGCCGAAAATCGAAAACATTCACCGAAATGATGGAGGAGAGGCAAGTACAAGTCCCAGTTCCGATCGAGTGTCAAAATAAATTTGTATCCTACTACATGGACGACAAAGCTCCATAGTTTATAAAATGTTTTGCAAAATATTCTCCAATTAACTTAAGTGTCCAGTGTTTTTTCAGTCGTGTTAATGTGCTGGTGTTAATGTTAGAATGCAAATAGTCTTGTTTTAACAAAGATTCAATTAATAATGTTTTAAATATTTTATTCAACATATGTGTTTCTAAGCAAAAAGACAACTAACATAAATGGTGCTGCGGTACCAAATTGTAATCCACTTTAAAACTAACCTAACCAAACTGACCATTTCTGCGACCCCCTGGATTTATACAATTACTGAATAAAATATCTTTACAGGGCTGAAAGGGGCGGACCTCGGGGGCGTGCCAAGCTGGCTTCTCTGGCCGTATACAACGAGGATGAGACCAACGATCTGAGTGATCTGGGAATCGGAACCAGCAGCGCCAGCGGAAAGAGCAGTATGTCCGAGGACTACGACAACAATAGTGTTATGGTGCGTACAAGCGAACTATCATAGAGGGGTCAATGTAAAACATCACCACAGTTTCAATGGCATAATTAGCTCCGTTTCTAGCACCAGTCCATTTCTTTCAGTTTCTCCGTCTTAATATTTTTTCCATCATTAAGAGTCATTTATGGCGTGTGCTTGTCGCGGCGTTTATACACAATTACATCAAATTAACAATTAAATATAATTTATAAACATTTCGCCGCTAAGATAAGGCTTAGACTTTAAATTCAATTGGAAAGTGTTGCCAGCAAAGCGATGCGACGCGGGCTAATAAACACAAACAGTTTATTAATCAAATACGCGTACAAGCACAGCCACCATCAAATCATAATCATAAATAATAAACAATGAACCACAAACAATCCACGATGCACAGACAACAAAACGGAGATTCCTTTTAAGATTGAAATTGAGCGAGAGATTGAGCTGCGGATTGAGCAATTAGAGGCGCCTGTCCTCATATGTTCCGCTGTGAAATGTGGAAATATTTATTAGTTAGGGAATTGGAAAAAGAAAAATGTAGCAAAGACAAGACTTAAGTTCAAAAGTCCAATAAAATACATACATGAATCAAATGTGTGCATAATGTTTGCAAATACAATCATAAATCAGCAACATTCTTTAAAATATTCAGATTTGTTACCTTTACGGCTATAAGTATACCAAATTTATGAGAACAAATATATTTCCTGCCATACAAACTTTGGGGCCGCAGAGGTTTATAACTAGAACTCAAATCTTTTATTCTGTCCTGTAATAAAGTAATCTCGCTCATTTAACAGAAGAGTGGCATGTCTAAAAACATTTCGAGATAAATGCACTTACAATTTTCATGTGCCGTGTGTCTTCCAGAAAAACGATCGAACTTTTACACTTCCCACGGTCTGTGTAGAGTGTACATAAATTGTTATATAAAGACAGGATTATTATATTTTTACACAACATAGATATTACCCAAAGAACATTTCTGTTTCATGTTTCGACTATGTCACCCCTCTAGTAAATTAGATATAAATACATAGCAGGTTACATGTTTTTCGCGGCCTTTATGATTGCAATGTTAGCAAAATATACCACCATGTATTTTTGCATACGTACTCACGCATTTATAATCTAATTCCCTTTCTGTACACTCCACAGAGCGATCATGCCGCCGAGCTGGACAAGGCTATCGGAGCACCTGTCTCTGGAGCTGCCGAAGCAAGCTCGCGAAGCGTGGACGAGCAGCAGAATCACATCAACCGCAACGGTAATGGGAACCACGGGAACGGAGTAGCCGTTGACCAGGCGGTTACCTGAATCCGTCTAGGACCGCAGGAAGGGAGTACATTTCCTCGCCAGGGTACGACACGTCGTCTAGTACCGCGCCAGCTAGTTCCCCAGATCCATGTGAGTACACCTACGAGGGAGCCATCCAGGATTACAAGCAAGGGTCCAACGGGCCAGCAGTAATGGCAATGGAAATGCCAATGGCAAGGCGGTCGGAGAACCCATCGCCTATCCCACAGGCGTGGATCCAAGATCGAGGACCGCTTGAGCGGCTTTGAGGTACTTCGCCCAGCGACACGCAAGAGGGCGTAGAGAAGCAGAAGGTGGACGTGCCCAAGGTGGACATTTCCAAGCGAAAGGAAATCTTCGAGCAGGTCAAGACGGAAGTGCCCAATGGCGCTGCCTCCGCGGCTCCAAAACTGGTACTTCGAGATCGCCTAACAAATGGTAACGCAGCTCCCACTGCCCCCAAGTCGGATGTGAGGCGTCTTTCTGGCGACATATCCAGCATTCGGGACCGCATGCAGAGCTTGGAGCAGCAGAGAAAGGCCTTTAATTCCAGTAAGAGTGTGGACGTGCCTGTGCCGCCGCTCAAGCAGCGTCTGAACAGCCTGCAGCAGTCCGTTACCAAAGAGGATCAGAAGAAGCCACCGTTGGTGGCCCTCATCGATGCCAGACAACTCGAGATCATGAGGGGCGAGGAGGAACGAATGCGCCAGCAGCAGCAGCTGCAGAAGGAGAAGGAGAAGCACGCCCCACAAAGCCAACCACTGTGGTCGCTCCTCTGCCACCACCTCCAGCCCTGATTATAGAGGAGCCGCCGGTGACAGCCACCAACGATGACAGCGGTATCCAGGAGGACACTACGGACGAGCTGCAGCAGCAGCAGCAACAACTCAACGCAGCCATCGCCGCCTTGGCTCTCGAGGAGCGCCAGCTGGAGGAGGCGGCCAACGCGGTCAACCAAATCGAAGCGGAGTTCGATGAGCTGACCGATCTGAATCCGTCGCCATTGCCACCGTCGCCGGCTCATCCATCGGCTCAGGCAAACATCCAACCACTGGCAGCCGCTCCAGCTTCAACACAAGCGGCCAATCAGGCGGCTGCTCCTCCATTGCGGGACATGGAATTTAGTGTAAGTTCTACTAACAATTTTATCGAATCCGCTAAGATAAGTCCTTGTGATGTTGATGTAGTAGCTGCTTCAGCGGTGTCGGTGTCCAAGTCTGGCCCCACCCCCAATCCCACATCCACTCCCAATCTGGTTTCTTCCCCCAACTGTAACTTGCGTAGAAAGCCCTCCAATGAAATGATCCATCATCGTAATTTGCTTAAAATGTTCAAGGAAACCTTTCAAAACGACGACGATTTGAAAGAGGTCGGGGAGCCGGTCACTTCCCCGGGTCAGTTTACCCAGATCTTTGACTTTACCAATCAACCAAGTGACCCCCCGATACCGATACCAACACCCGCTCCCTCGAGTCCGATTCCAACTCAAATACCACGTCCTCTGGGCAAGCCTCCCATGTCTCCCAAGGCGGTAAGATTAGCCTCCAGTCCCAGGACTCAGATTAATCCTATAAGTTCGCCAACGACCTCAGGGGCTTCGCCTCCGCAGTTCAGTATCAATGGACGCGTAGAGATTTTTAACTCACGGCAGCTGGACAAGCCTCCAACGCCGCCAGCTCCTCCCAAGCGAACTGTGAGGATTGAGCATCTAGTTAAGGAAGCGGTTCCTCCGCCAGAAGTGGTGATGTGTGCTCCTCCCATGACCATTGTTCATCCCGATGAGCTGCCCAAACCCAATACTGTTAAGGCCTTGTCCAACTGCTTCAGCCAAAGTGATGCCCCTCCGATTACCTCACCCATCATGTCGCCCAAGCCTGTGCCCAGGAGTCGCATTCCCCAGATCACACCACCAGCTTCCCCGAAACCGCAGAAACGAGCTCAGATTGATGAGGTGGATCGTAGCTCCGGGGACTATGCTCCAGTGGTGGGCCAGACCAAGGCGATTGTGCATACGCCCCCTAGCAAAATGAATCCCCAGGCAAACGGAAGCCTTGATCCCCTAGCACCCAATGACTCACTGTACCTGCACACATCTTCGCCCAGCGAGATGCCCTCCCTGAAAGCCTGTTCCCCGAATGAGTCCAGTCTGTTTAAATTGGCTTCATCAAGACCCACCTCGCCTTCGGTGGAGGTGGCTCTGTGTCAGCAATTCCTGGACAGCGAGGCTCCCAGAATATCCAGCTGGCCGATGAGGACCGTAGGCTCTTAGAGCAGTTTGCTGTGGAGGAGATGCCCTGTGATAGGATCGATGTGAGCAAAGCACCCCTGCCCAGTACTGGTTACCAGAACGTGACCGAGGACCTGGTGAAAAAGTGTGATGGCAAGAAGGAATCACTCGCAGTGAGAGAGCTGGAAGAGATTCCGAGCCAGGAGGATATAAGCCTGTGTGTGGGATTACTGGATTGCCTGGCTCCGGCTCAGGAGCCCGTCTGCGACAGCATCGATGTGAAGAAGGTTCCAGTGCCGGCCACTGGCTTCCAGGACATCAGCGAGGACGAGGTGCGGCGCTGTGATAGATCGAGCAAAAGCTCTGTGATCACAAACAGACCAAGCTCACCCATCGGCAGTGCCAGGGCGGCTCATTCGAAGGCACTGATGGACACCTGCGAGCAGATCATTGCCGAAGAGCGACAAGCGAGCAGTCGGATGATGAAGACCTCGCTGCCGGAGTCCGTGGAACCAAGCCCTCTACTCCCCTCCTGGGCCGCAGATCGAAGATTCCCATACCCAAGCCCTGCTGTATTTCTGCATCTGGAACTGATTCGATCAGTAGAGCGGGCTATGCCCCGACTGCAACTCCACCTCCCTCCGAGAACGTGGAACAGCCACTGATAGCTCGCACGCACCTGGTGGAAACGGAGATCAAGGTTAAGCCGATCTCCCCACCCAGCTCCCCCAAACCCCAGGAGCGGGCTCAGGCACCCGCACCGCCTGTTAAAGAGAAGAAAGCCAAAAACATATTCGATTTCCTGCGCCGAAATTTCGGGCATCAAGAAGAGCCACAGCACCACCCCACGCTCAATGAGACCCTTGAGAAGAAAGTGGTGCTCACCAGCACCAAGAGCGGAGTGGATGTGGTCAATGCGGACGAGTTCGTACGGGTGGACAACTCCAAGCTCTATGTGGCCAGCGAGGAGGAGGACGAGCCCGCACCCCCTCCACTTCCCAAACCCCAGCTCCTGTCAACATTGAGATTCGAAAAAAAATCGTTACTGATGAGATACTAGAGGAAAATACAACGGAACAGGCGCTGACCCAAGAGATCAGCGATTTGCTGGACGACGAGATCATGAAGCTGGAGGTGTCAGGGGCCTCGACTTTAAAAAAATAATAATATCGGAGTAGAGCCGCCTTCGGATCTACAAGATTGAAGAGCTTAGACTTCCGAGACCTCGGAGTGATACGTGATCTCTCCGCCGCTTTGCAAGATTTTAAAAGCTCTCAAGTGAACCGACAATCCTTATGACTTTAAATGGCTCTCTCACATCGACAAAAATCAAAATGAGACCTTTGAGAAATAGGCAGACCAACTTGAACATTTTACATCGAATTTATTTTTACTGAAACTATTTATTTTACTATGGTTTTTGTTTTTCTTACGAATTCTTTTCAATTTTTTCTTAACAATTTGTTATGGGCTCAGGCTACGTACGCTACAGTTTTCTTTATCTCTTAATATAACTTTACTAAACCCAGAAATTATGTATGAAAACAAAATTTGATTTTATATAAAGAATTGTCAAACATATGTTTTATGGTTATATATTTTATACACAAACATACACACAAAACAAGAGAAGGAACCATTAATTAAAAACCTCAAAAGCATACCAAATAATATAAAAGAGGACAAATATTATAAACACAAATGAGATATAATTGTTGTGCTATTATATGAATAAACCTAAACTAAAACCGAAACAATGAAACTACAATATTGAAAAGAGATGTAAAAAGTTTTTTACACGCCGCTTGTAAATTTACGCGTTCCTTGTCGCTAGAATTTGAACTGCTTGCACTGCTTGACAGACTAGTGTAGACTCGATGTAAAGTGAACACTACATGGTGTAGAAGCTGTCGGAACGCAAGGCACTTATATTTTAGCTTACACCTGTTTAATCTGAGTGTAATGATTGACATAAAATATTATATGAATGGTAACTTTAATCTGATAGACCCTTCAAGTTACCAGTAGTAACAATGTGTTAGGTAAACAGTAGTTGTGGTGTTGACTCAACTCTGGATACATATATCTGGAAAATAGCAAAATCGCCAGCAATGGATGTGGACAAACCCAAGAATCCCGATCCCACATGTCTAAATAATCCCGACTATCCCCGTGGAACCCCAAACCTTTTGCCAGAGGTTAAGGCTACTGATTAAGGCTTTATTCTACATGCTATCTGATTCATTCACGTATTTCTCTTACATGCCTTGCGCTCGTTTGTTGGCTAAATAATGTAAAATATGACTTTCCATTAATGCAGTTACATAGTTTACATGCTTACTGCCAGCAAAAGTTGTTGCAAGTATACAATTTCCGAGGTAAGCGGTCTCTCTATCTCATATCCCTTGTTTGTGCCTTTTCTGTTCCTGTTTGTACCCACTGTTCTGTTTGTTTGTTTTCTTGTCATTTCTGTTTGTTTGTTTGGATGTCTCGCCCGTTTCGTATAATTCTTGGTTGCATTGCATGTTGCGTTTTACCCACTTAGCACCTATTTAAAATGCCAAAAGTCACCCATCCGCCTAGTGGGGTTTCAGGTCATATGCAGTTTGGGGCTGCATACTTTGGGGGGCCGCGTCGGTGTGTTCAAGCCCCCGTCTGCAGACCCTGGAGTGCTGTCTCCGCAGTTTTGCCACCCGCATATCGCCTCCGGTTCTTTATCTAAACAAATCGTTTGGGTCGATTCAGCGCTGCAGCGCCTACGTTTAGTGTACTTTAAGCCCTCGACGGTATTGGTTCGGTCCGTGCTGTATCATATAGTTTATACACATCGGTGTCTGCCACGGGTTATCTTTACACCCCATAATAAAATAATCGTGCGAATAATTCGCATTGGACGGTATCTAAAGTATGTCCTAGAGATACGAAGCGAATCGATTGCAGCGCTCCAGTTCGTTAGATTGTTTCGATCAAAAACCAGGGGTAAGCGGATCATTACCCGTATTTGCTCAAGTACTTCCCCTGTATATATAATTGGTTCTTGGAATCTCGTGAGAATTTATACGAATCGGAAAGGGTGATAACGTTTCAAGTATGTACTAATATTTATTGAAGGAATGTCCGAAATTGCCAACGGCAAATCAGTTCGTTTTTGATTATTTATACTTCAGCTGACCAACGGACAGACAGGCGGCCAAATAGACTACTAAGACTTGGTCAAGATTATACAGGGGTTTTCCTGTGAAGTTGCCAAAGTAAAAAATTCCTGTTTTTCCTGCTGCATACACTCTTCGAAAGGTCTTATCTAAGGATTAGCTTAACTTATCTGACTTCTTTGCTTTCAATCCCAATACTTTGAGATCGTCGTAGTGGTTATCTGCCTTTACCAGCTCATTGGGTGAACATTACGTTCCCTGAAATTCTGTGAAATCCTCCTATGTTCTGTTTCCATTATCTTTTTCCCCTCAGTTATTATTTGATTGAATTCCGCTGTATAATTAATTTAAAATTTGATATCTTTAGTTTTGTTTAATTTGCAAGCTAGCCTTTGTTTGAACTAACTGACATTCATGCGATCCATGCGCATTCTTCTCTCTTTCTCTGTCTGTCATGCACGCTTTTGACGCTTTCTCGCTCGCTCGCCATGCCACGCCCACCTCATCCCGCCCCACAGATCAACGAAGCTCTTGAATTAGCGCTGCAAGCCATCGATCGCGAGGCGACGCCCGAGCCAATGGACAAGGCACAACATTCACACGAGGAGGAGAAGGAGCAGCCGGCGCAGGAGCAGCAGGAGGAGCAGTTGGGGGATCAGCCGGACGAGGGGGAGCAGGAGCAGGAGCAGGAGACCAATGAGCAGGGGGAATCACACACCGAGGGTGGGGAAATGCCAAATAAAACCGATGAGCAGAAGCAGGGGGAACGAGAGCCCATCTATGAGAATGTCAGCTCGACTATATCTATGCACGAAGTAGATAATGAACAGATAGCAACGATGACGATAACCACACAGACCCAAGCGACGCGGAGGAGTCACAGGAGAAGCATTCCAAATAAGCAACCCAGCAACAATAACGAGAATAATCAAAGCCCTAATCAAACCAACAGCAGCAGCAATCAAAACGAAACAGCACAGCAGCAACCTCAGCAGCAATCCCCGTGCCACCAGCAACGTCTGGAGATGTGGAGCCGTACTACCAAGTGCCGAAGGCCACGGAGCCCTACTACGACGCCCCGAAGCATTTAAGACCCGTGCCCGTCTACGAAAACATCGAGATCTTCTACTCGGGCCTGGAGATCAGTCAGGGATCAGCGGGAACGCCTCTGGGACCCATGGAGCCACCCAAAGAGAAGCCTCCGCCACCGCCCACCGAGAGTCCGCCGCCGATTCCGGTGGACGAGGGCCACGACGACGAGCTGGATGGGTTGGGCAGCAGCCTGGGGCACAACACCGACACCTGGTCATCGGACAACACCTACGAGACCATATCGAACGGCACCCGCCGGCACCTTCAGGGCAACTGGAGCCTGCCCAGCCGTCGCCGCCCATCAAGCGGATGAACTCAACCAAGCGATCAAGAAGGAGCTGCGCAACAAGCGCTCCAGCTTCCTGGGCATCGAAACCGACGGGGATCTCGACGACATGGAGACCTACCTGGAGCTCACCGTGGCCCCGCCGCCGGACATGGCGCAACTCCTGCAGGAGGAGAGGCGGCTGGAGAAACAGCTGTACATCAAGGCGGGACTCTGCGACAGTTCCGACACAGGTTAGTCGATATAGAATCTATAATTACGGTGGGTGGGCAAAGAGAAAGCCGATACCGAAGCCAACGGGCCATAAAAACGAAAGACAGTAGCAATGAGCAAATCACAAGCTGGACGGAAGGGTGCTGACTGGGCCAGAGGGCAAGAGGTGGCCCCATCTGCCCCGCGAGGTTAAGTATAAATAATCCGTTTAGTGTGCGTGGCCCACGAAGCTGTCACAGCTCTGGCTGAGATGCTTCCATTTGTGTGTTGAGCTAAGTTGAATCGGTTTGGTTTACATACGTACTCACATTGGATTTGGGATAGAAGCACACAGTTTGTATGGATAAGTCTAAGTTTGTATAAGAAAAGTACATTTTAAAGTCCTGCCTCTACCGGCTTATAACTGAAATTTGGTTTATTTTATGGCAATACTCCAAGCTTTCACACAAGTCAGAAGTTTTAGCGACGAAGCTTTGATTAATATCACATTCTTGGAAGTAGGTAAATCCACTTGACTGGTGAGATCAGGATGACAACCTATCGAAATTTGCAGATCCCAAGAAGTCTGAGGATCACTCTCCAGTGAGAGCAGTGTGTTGAAATTCTAACTCGCTGTGTTATAGTTTCTATAAATCATTCAATAATATAATAAAGGTCACAAAAAAACCATTTAATTATGTTTAATACCTTAATCCCTACTACCGGGAATTCCTAGAACAAATAAAGGAAGTCAAAGAAGGCACAGTGACATACAATTAGAGCATACAATTAGAGCATGGGAAATGGGTTGTTTATTTCTAGCTTTTACGTCAGTGTAGTTTATGTTTAATTTCAAACTGGCATTGTCACCTCAGTTAATATAGCTTTTTTTCTACAAATACTAAGCAACTACAAACTCTCTTCCCTTAATGCCGTCCCCACACTTATCTTATTCCTTCCCAAGGTGAAAGCCGAGACTCCGGAGTCTCCGAGAACCATTCTCGTCAGAGCAGCGAGCACTACACAAACTCCTCTGAGGAGAACGACACGCAGTCGGATGCCACGCCCCCGCCGCTGCCCCCGCCGCCGTCGACCGCCCAGCTGGGCGAAGTCATCTACCAGAACGAGGGCCTCCTGGCTGCCCAGACGCCGCTTCTCCAGACAGTCAAGGGCAACTCGGCCGAGTCCTGGACGGAGTCGGCGACGGCGGCAGCGGCGGCCACCCAGTCGCTAAGCGAGGCCACAGCGACGGCCAACGCCAAGATGCAGTCCATCGAGGACAAGATCAGGGAGCAGGGCGAGGTGTTGCGGGTGGAGCGGGAGCTACTCCACTTTTCGGTAAGTGAGATGAATCCAAGGACTGCCAGATACAGAACCACATTTTCTCAAAAACCCAAAAGTGTATCACTTACTTTAAAAACACGCATTCGAAAAGATATATAAATACCAAAAGTCCAAAGAGGCTAGAAGTTTTTGATATGGTCTTGTGGAGTATATTGTTTTTGTAAGCTGTTAATTCTAAAAAAAGTGTATTTTTTCCAAGTTCTAAAAGGTTTATTGATAGTTTTTAATTTTTGGCGACGATTATAAATTTTTCAGCAAAAGTATATACTTTTTTGAAGACCTACGAAACTTAATGAATATTTATCAACTCAAAAACTGTGATTAAAGCACTACAATTTGTTGCTAAAACAAAATAAAATGATTTTATAAATAACGAAAAATGAGCAAGTACATATACGCAATTATTCATGTATATATTTTTACAAATGATTTTCCGAAGGGTAAATTTTTTTTGGCAACCGTAGTTCTAATGTAAATCAAAACTAAAATACGAACTCGTTTCCGCAGCAGGAGGAACTGAAGCGCCAGCGTGAGAATCTTCTGCTCCGTGAGAATCTAGCCCGCCGGGAACTGCAGCACGGAGCGAAGATGCTGCTGTCAAACAACCGGCGCTCCCTGCAGGACCTGCACCACGGCCTGGGCATCGGCAACGGAATGCTGAGTGCCTTCCAACCGCCGCAGCACCACCAGGCGCCAATGCCCCCACCGCATCCGCAGCAGATCTACGCCAATGTGCCGCAGCAGCAGCAACAAGCAGCGCTGTACGCGTATCACCAAATGGACACGGACTACCGCAAGTCCATGTCGGACCTGAACGAGTTTTCCAATCGCCTGATGCTGCCGCCAACGCCGCCGACGAAGCCCCTGAGGGCGATGCAACTGAACGCCAATGGCCATGGCCTGGAGCCGGACTACGCGGTTAGCTCGAGGCAGCGCCAGCCGCCTGTTCCGTACGGAGGATCTCTGGTGAAGATCGCTGGGGCACCGATGCCGCCTCGGATCTCTGGCCAAGGATATCCCGTTCAAGCGTCGGCAGCGGCCGCCTACCACCACCAGTCGGCCCAGAACCTGAGCAATATGTCCCGGAACACATTGCTCGCCCTGAGTGCCACCCCCAAACCCAAGTACACGGACGGATGGGTGCAGGTGCAGCAGCGGAAGAGCTACGACAGCCACCAGGCCAACGACCCGGCCTGGCTGTCCGCCCAGCAGCAGAAGCGCAAGTCCATGCCGGACTACGGCGGAGCCCTCTACAACAACAACCACTGGCTGCTCCAGGAGGCGGAGCAGCGACGCATCGAGCAACTCAACCGGCGGTCGATGCCGGCCAGTAAGTCGAAGGGCAAGCCGCTGCCCGACTCCATCATCCAAACGCTGACGGAACGGGTCCAGAGCAAGGGCATCGGCGATCGAAAGCGGTGAGTAGCCATTGTCGGTTTGGGGCTTTCCAAGACGCTCATGAGGTACGGCTTCTTTATAAACTATCTCCGAACTCACCAACAGCTTCGATGGCAACGGCAACTACAGCCAGGTCAACGGCAACACCAATGGCTACCAGCAGCAACAGCAGAAGTCCAACACCACGAACGGCAGCAACATCAACGGCGGCAGCAGCCAGGAGAAGGTGCTCAGCGTCAGCGGCAAGAAGAAGTGCTCCCACTGCGGCGACGAACTAGGTAAACTTTGCTACTACGTTGGTTGTGAGTGTTGCGTTATTCTTCTATGTCCTGTACCCCTCTACACATCGATCATCTTTGGCAACATCTTCTAGGCTTGTTGTCACGGCGAGCAGCACAAGAATAACACACACTCAGGCTCACTAGTCTCACGGTTGCGATCCGTCGATCATCAAATGCTTTCCCCTTCCCATTCACTCTATTAGCCTTAACCAATAAGTTTCTACCTTTCACTTTCATGTCTGAGACAGATCTGGGCTGCACACACGACAATTGTCGACAAGTGCACAAAGCGCTCAAATACATTGTTTGGGTGTAATTTTAAAAGACTTGATTTACCTAGTTTAATCATAACCAAGCGAAATATTAACATTTAAGGTATTTCATGGAGGGGGTTTTTTGTTAAAACAAATCTTGGGACCGGAATGTAATATTTGTGAAACTGATGGAAACTTTTAACAAAAGTTTTTATTACCAATAGCAAATATCGTTGATAATTGCAAAGCGTATTTTTAAATTTAATACAAAATTAAATTTAATTGAACGCAAAAAGTTCAGAAATCGTCCGCCCCGCGGTTTTCTGTTGTTATGCTACTTAAGTTCCTTTAACTAAATGTATATCAACATTTAAACAGGTCGCGGCGCTGCCATGATCATCGAGTCGCTGTTGCTCTTCTACCACATCAACTGCTTCAAGTGCTGCGTCTGCCACGTCCAGCTGGGAGATGGCCTCAATGGAACAGATGTCCGGGTGCGGAATCACAAGCTGCACTGCCAGAACTGCTACTCCAGCGATGATGGCATCAAGTTCAGCTGCGTCTAGCCGAGTCCTTGCCAAGGATGCGGGAGTCACATCGAAGACGGAAGCGGGGATTGTTGTTGTTCTTGTTGCTCTCGCAACATTGATTGTTGTTGTTGTACTAGTAATACATAGATACTAACTACTGACGTAATTCGCATATAAACTACATACATATATCCATGTTGAGAACAAAGTCAAATGCAAAACGTTTCAGATTAGTGTTAATCGCTTCTACGAAAGTACGAAATTTTTTGATGTCTGCATTGCTTTTTGACTCAGATTTTAACTTTTTATATACAATATTCTACATGTTTAAAATCCGACGTTATACATACACAAATATGTTTGAAAAGCTAAGCTCTCTAAAGTTTTACGCCAAGTCAAAGTAAAATTTCAAAATGCGATTTAAGTGTTGAAGATTATTAGACAAAATTATAAAACAAAAAGGAAGAAAGTTCTATGAACGTTGTTAAAATTTTGAAATTGTATATTGCCTACATATATATATATCTACCAGACATATAAAAATTGTACATTATTTTGAACCAAACTATTGTTTTCTCTTTTCGAGTCCGAGTTTTCGGTTGCTGATAAATCTTACGTTTCTGTGTTCTATCTACACCACACGCCTCAGCCCACATAAAATACCTAACGACGTATCCAATGTACCTAAAACTATATACAAATACCCATCCACACGCAACACACTAACATAAGTACATATTATTATATACCTACATACTACATGAGATGTGCATATAACGTGAATGATTTATATCTAATTGTCGTTATTCTTATTTATTGTAATTAAGCATACGAATCAAAAACATGTATGTATATTCTATACACTTCTTGATTTTTATGAATAACTTTTAAACTTGATCGGTATATGAATATATTTTCTGTATAAATACATCAAAGAATCCATTTAAATTTCGCTTAGTTTTAAAATAAAGTATTTCAAAGATAAAAACCCCGCTTTTTGCACTTAAAGAGGAAAAGAAATGTCAATCCTTTCAGTAGACCTTATAGATTTATATTGTTATTTATATCTTTCAATATCCGTGTGATTCCCAAGATATATTTGAACTCCACACTGAGCAAACCGATAAAACGAAATAATAACAAGGAAGAACGCTATAGTCGAGTACCTCGACTATCAGATACCCGTTACTCAGCTAAATAGAGATATGCAAGCAGCAAAGCGAGATTAAAATGCGCCACGTACCGGCGGTATACAGATTTAAGCGTTATGGGCGTTAGAGTGGGCGTGGCAATTTTTTTTTTTGGATCAATCGATAGGTATCGACGAGACCAATACATTTCAGTTAAAATTTTTATCTAGCATGAAAATTGTGGGCGTCACAGGTTTTCGCAGTTTGTGGGCGTTAAAATGGGCGTGGCAAACTTTTTTTGGGTCAATCGATAGGTATTGATGAGAACAATACATTTCAGTTAAAATTTTTATTCTAACATCAAAACTGTAGGAGCCACAGTTTGGGCGGTTTGTGGGCGTTAGAGTGGGCGTGGCACTGTGCTGAAACAAACTTGCGCTGCGTAAGAAGCTCAGGAATCTGCATGCCAAATTTCAATAGCCTAGCTCTCCGTTTTCGAGATCTCAGCGTTCATCCGGACGGACAGACAGACGGACATGGCTAGATCGACCCGGCTAGGGATCCTGATCAAGAATATATATACTTTGTGGGGTCGGAAACGCTTCCTTCTGCCTGTTACATACTTTCCGACGAATCTAGTATACCCTTTTACTCTACGAGTAACGGGTATAATAAAGGATTCATCCCGAAAAGTGGCAACTTTTTTCACAGCATACTTATAGACAGCCCCATTTTAAATGCAACGCCCGCAGTAAAATTTCCATTTAAACTATTTTCTAAAGCATACTTTAGGGCATACCGACAAAGGAGCAAAATTATTAAAGTCAAATTATCCTGCTACTTGTTGAGTAAAAAAGATTTGAATTGAGACATGTACCCATCGATTGACCTAAAAAAGTAAAAAAAAAGGTATTGAAAGTCGAGGCACTGGACTAAAGCGTTCTCTCTTGTTTGCTTTAACTTTGCAGCCGTATTTTTTTTAGAATCCTTGTGAAAGGGACAATTTTTGTGATCTCATTCGGAAATCAAAGCCGGTACGATTTTTAATCATTCTTCCAGGTAAGTAACACAATCACGGCGTACGTAGGTTTTGGTTGAAGGGGCCTTTCAGAACAAATATTGGACAGCAACACAATGTTTTCCATAGGATTTTACAAGACTGTTTAAACACCCGAAACCCCCTCCCTCCTGAATAAGACCATATGCACAGTGTTATTAATCTATGATTAACTTAAAGGTAAACATTTTGGTTTTCGTCATGCTCTTCATTTTAAACCAAAAGAGCATAAATGAAACATAAGGAATTTAATTTAAAATATTCACTTTAAGGTACCTAAACCCCTTAGGGGTAGAATCTTTTTTGATTGATATGCAGGTATCCTTTACAGCAAAGTCCCATCGTTTTTCTATAGTATGGAAAACATACCATTTTAGTATATACACATGTGATTTGATTTCTCTGGCAGTCCGAGCACTTTATTACCCAGACACTTTGATAGAAAACACAATCCAATACAATCTGCATTTACAATTTTGACGTTAGTAGATATCCCCACTTCACCATCGACCGCCTTATTAGGCGGTGGGCAGGAAGGTGAGCTTCTCGTTGAGCTGCAACTGGGTTTTGATAAGCTGGGAGAGCGTGATGACCAGCAGGAGGTTGCGCACGTTAGCGTTGAACATCTGTGTAAACTGCTCGTGGGTCATGTGCGGCACGGAGTGGATGAGGTCGAGCAGCTGACGGCCGACGGCGTTGTCGGGGGTCACCTTGTGAGCGATCACATCGTCAACGTACTTAAGGATCAGGTCCAGCAGCGACTGCAGCTTCGTGGAAGCCTCAGAGATCTGGGCGAGGTCCAGCATGGGCGGCACCGTCTTGGGCCGATGGGCGGGTGACACTCCCACGGTCTTCTGCAGCAGCTTGAGTCCGAAGGTCTCCGGCTCGTAGCTGGTCAGCTCGACGGGAATGGGTGTGAACATGCAGCCGCTCTTGCCGCCAGGGACTCCCAGCTGTATGCAGACGTAGGCGCGCAGGCCCATGCGACCACCTTGGAGCGAAGTGTCCACAGTGAGATGCACGGGGTTGTTGCACTCGCGGGCGTAGTACTCGTGGATGACCGAGCTGTGGTTGGTCACGTCGTTGCCGGTGGCCCACCAGCCCACCACGCTCTCGTTGGAGTTAACCTTGCGGTTGAGGTCGTACATGTCCAGGGCGTAGCTCAGTTCCGCCTCCACCTGGTCGTCGTGTTCCTTGTGCGGGACACAGAAGCAGTTGGTCACCTCCACCACTCCCTTGTCAACGGAGCCGAGCAGCGTGCCGATGACGCGGTGCGAGTCCGCGTTCCTCCGCTCGAAGGCGTCCACCACCTGGAAGAGCACCACCGGGTGCACGCGAACGGTCAGGTTGAGGGCCGACATTGTAATTCCTGCTGGCAAAGATCTGCAAGGGAAATTTCCGCAAAAATTTCTATTCAGCCACGCTGCGCGAATGTTTTAGGGATGCAAGAAGGGGTCTATCGATAGTGGGGGTGGCGGGCGATAGTTTTTAGCGTATCGAACGGGGGCTATCGATAGCGTACAGACTAATATATCGAGTGTGGAAATAATTGGGTGTGTTAGAATATCGAAAAGGCGCGAGTTTTAAAATTTATTACGATTCTTTTGGTTGTGCCCCGACATCAGTTAACCAATTTAAAAACAAAGGACTCATCTGTTGTTGGAAAGGCTGATCCATGTAGTAAATTTCTTAAGCCATTACTTGATGGCGTATTTGTGAGTCCGACTTCAACAAAAGTTCTTAATTTGCCATTCACGTTTTAAGCAACAAACATTTAAAAAAAAAATATTGTATTGTATTTATTTTATATATTTATTTAGTCGAATGTAAAACGGTTTTTCGTCTGAAAAGATATCAAAAGAAATTATAGAGGTTTAGTTCTTTACATATAAACAATTTTTTATTAAATACGATTTTTACATAATGCACACTTAGCATAAATACGCTTGGTATTGTATTTGTATTTCTACTTGAGATTAGCCCTTCTAGAATTGGGCTTGATCGCTGGCATTCCATGCACTTTATTACGGTTACCTATCGCGTCAAGGCGGACGCGATACCACGCAACTATTGCCGGAACAGATCCTACCACACTTCGCATTTTTGAACCGGATTCATGGGCGAACCCTCCGGACACTGGAAGTCCTTGGCGAAATCCTTCATATTGCTGAGCGATCCAAGGACGCGGAACTCGGATGGCGAGTGCACGCCGGTAGTAATACGCATCTTGAGAGATTCTAATGGAATTGAACAGATACGATTAAAATTTGGTATAAGCTATTAAGGCACTTCAAAAATTACCAATTTACCAAATAAGGGTTCTTATAACTGACTGATAACTTCTCATGTTTTTCTTACCTTTACGGTATTTAGCACACCAGGTCTGGCCGGCTGCCACCCAAAACATCTGCTCCGGGGTGTAGTCCAAGCCGGGAAGCTTTGGCTCCGGTCCGTGTTTCTCCACCCATCTTCGGTAGGCGATGTACGACTCCTTGACGCCACCGTTGTCGGCGATGTTCTCGCCCTGGGTGTTGATGCCATTCAACTGTGGAAGAAAGAAACTTTAGAACTTGTCTGCTCTTTTGAGGAGGATCTCTTACGTTCAGACCGGTGGCCCTCTCGGTGTAGTTGCCGTACTGCTCGATGATGCATTTCGCCTTGGCCAGGTAGGCCTTCTGGGTGTCCGGCTGCCACCAGTCCCGCAGATTGCCCTTCACATCAAACTGGCGACCCTGATCGTCGAAGCCGTGGGTAATCTCGTGGCCAATTACGTATCCGATAGCGCCAAAGTTCATGTACTTGGGACGTTGGGCGTTAAAGAAGTGTCCCTGCAGGATGCCGGCCGGGAATTCTAAAAAAAATGAGTACACCATTTACAATAGGTGGTATTGCCAGTAGCCGGAAAGTTCATTAATTACACAGTGTAATAACAAAAATTACCAATGCTTAAGGATCTTGTACCGCAATTTCTGGCTGCTAGTTAGTCAAAACATTTGACACAATCGACTCTTTATCTTTCCATACCCGAATTTCAAATATTTTTAGGATTTTTTAATAGATACATATAAGCATAGACATACAGCTGCGGTCAAAATAATAGCTGTGCCCCTTTAATGGTTGGTTGTTGTAAATGGTAATAAACAGTATTTTTGAAAGGGTGCGGTACATTTAAGTAGAATCCTTGTCTAGGGTTTTTATTTAATACTCCAATTGATATCTCTAGAGATCAATATTTGATAGAGCCATAATTAAGGGATCTGCCACAGCCCAAGCGTAACAGATAGAGTAGCCAATATTTACCAACATTTCATATTTGCCCATTAAGATTCAATATGTCCACCAGTACCAAAATAAATAATTTAAAATGCCCATAACTCC